TGGATGAGACTTTGAGTCACCTGGTCTAGTGGAAGGTGTCCCTGCTGCTGGCAGGGGGGTTGGAACTAGATGATCTTTAAGGTCGCTTCTGACCCAGACCATTCTATGATTCTATACTCCTGTGCTGAGTTTATATCCTAGAAGGATTTGGAACAGTGAAAGGAGAGTCTGAAGTCATAACATTTGTGACATAATGTCATCATTTCTGGTAAAGAGGCCCCTCTAGGGAGCAAGAATGACATCCTGCTGATTTAATTCTAGGTTTTCTTTTTTTTCTTTTTCCTCACTTTTTTGGCCCCCTTCTCTTTTATTTGTAAACACAGACTTTCATAATTACTCTTCTCATTTGCCTTTTTCTGTGAGAAATTGAAGAAAAATCTGCAGGAGTCAAAATCAGTAACAAGCTTTCTCGGCTCTAAGCATCTTGAGTGAAGCTCTCAACTTACTGTAAAAATCCAACTGTTTAGTCAGCGCTACTTCACATTGAGCATCGCTTTGAAGTATAATTCAGAGACATTCATGTGAACTATTGATTTCCAGATAATCAGTTTCTTACAATTTGGCTGCTGTCCTTGCTGCACTTTGAGTTGCATTAGCAGTCTATTTAGTGTCCCATTCCTCACCATCTCTTTGGGACTTGTTTTCACTGCTGTGTGTAATTGAAATAGTGAACCCCCACTAATGAACAGGAAAAGAGGAAATTCTCCAGGCTGTGGCAGAGAGCCTTTGGTAGTTGTAGTAAAGATCTCATCGGTTCTTGTTTGGGGTAGAGCCACTATATGATTCTTTTTTATGAAGCCTGCAACATTGTTTGGCTTCTAAATAATTATTAGACCCAGCTGATCTTACTGCTTTTCTTTTGGTTTATCCTTTTATCATGTTTTCCCTGGAATGTTTTTCTGTAGGAAGTATCTACTTTCTGTAGTAAATAAATCCATTTTAATGAATTTATCTTGGATAGCTTTTTTAATGCAAAAGCAATGATTTCAGTTGAAACCTTCACTTAAAATTTTTAATTTTCCTTGCTAGTATTTCCTTACTAATGCTTTTTTGTTGCTTTTTTGTTTTGTTCTGTTGCCTTGTAATTTGTGGGAGTGGGAAGATGTGCTTGGGACTAGGTGTAAGACATGGTCTTTGAGAGAGCTGAGCAAGTGGCTTTCAGTCACCCCAGTGGGAATCTGAGATCTGTAATTAAATAGCTAGATATGAAATTATGAGTCCAATTTTACTTTGATTTTTTTTTATTATTCTTCAGATTGTTGACCTATGGTCTGTGTTGGATACAGGTGGCTTTTATACTAGACATTCACTAGATATTTCTGAAAATGAGAAGGGTAGTACTGCTTGGCAGTCTTATGTCATGATGCCAAATGAAGGAAATCTTTGTATTTCTTTAAATACTTCTGATTATGGAGTATTAGTTAGAGCCAAAACCAGTAACAGTTCATTTGCTTTTATATAACTTAGCATAAATAACATAGGCTTTTTTCAACATACAGAATGAGTGAGCCAGTTGTAAAGATGTATGACTTGCTTAATTGGGAATATGTAGGTGATTATTTATAAAGTTACAGTTCTAATGCTCTCTAACACCTAGAATATTTTTTATATTGTTTGATGGAGCTGTCACAAAAAAAGCTCTATCCTCTGGTAGTCACTGGTAATTTTTTCCCTATTTCTTTTCTGTTTAGAATTTTAACTTCCCATAGTAACTGTATGTAACATTAATATATAAATTGGTTTGTACTTTGAGCCCATATGTTATGGGCTAAACTTTTCCAGCAACCTCAGGTGAGCAAGAGGTTGCCATTGGGTTTCAGGCAGTTGAACAAGTAAGGAAAATACACTTGTCTTATAGTCTGATCTCAAACTTTTCATCAGTAACTTCTTGCCTCATAAGCTGAGCTGTCGGCCTTTCCTGGTATTAGTAACAACATTTAAATTAAGATGGTGTCAGTTATCAAGATGTACAGGAGCCTTTCCTGGTATTAGTAACAACATTTAAGATGGTGTCAGTTATCAAGATGTACAGGAAATTGGCCAACTGAAAGGGAACATCTCATGCTGATGGTAGGGATTATTCATAGAATCATAGAATGGTTTGGGTTGGGAGGGACCTTAAAGATCATCTAGTTCCAACCCCCCTGCCATCAGCAGGGACACCTTCCACTAGACCAGGTTGCTCAAAGCCTCATCCAGCCTGGCCTTAAACACTTCCAGGGAGGGGACATCCACAACTTCCTTGGGCAACCTGTTCCAGTGTCTGACCACCCTCACAGTGAAAAACTTCTTCCTAATATCCAATCTAAAACTACCCTCCTTCAGCTTAAACCCATTTCCCCTTGTTCTGTCATTAACTGCCCTTATGAAAAGTCCCTCCCCAGCTTTCCTGTAGGTCCCCTTCAGGTACTGGAAGGCCGCTAGAAGGTCTCCCCAGAGCCTTCTCTTTTTCAGGCTGAACAGCCCCAACTCTTTCAGCCTTTGTGCTGATGGGATGTTCTCAGTGGCGTTATTTATCTAGTACCAGACAATGTTTTTAGTAAAGCAATGCACTCAGAACCATAGAGAGGTTGTAAACCCTCCTGCTCGTCACAGTGGAAAGAGCTATATATTTTTTGAAAAGGAACTGTGTTGCTATCATGTGAATAGAAAACATTGCATTTCAAGCCACATTGGAAGGAAACTGAATGATGAAAACATGAAGTTGGAAGTTATCTAGTTACAGCATTTTGGTTGAACCTATTTTATTTTTTTGTAATAGTAAATAGTATCCCTGTGTAACTGGAGATCTGCTTAGGGCTCATGGATCATTTGGTTTGGTTATCTCGTTTGAGTTCATCGATTTTGGAGGTGTTGATAACTCAGCTTCCATTTAATTTTATTGTTTTAGGTTTTCAGGAAAAAAACCAAGGAATTTAGGCAACAATACAAAGCTTATAGAATGGTTACCACAAAATGATCTCCTTGGTGAGTATCTATTTTGATCATATATCGCTTCTTCTCACTCGAGTTCAGGTTGTTCTTCCAACTATATTCTACTGAGTTAGCGATCACTGTAAAGCGAGTATAATTTCTGTATTGGAAGTCATAGAACAAGGATATAGAATTAGAACTTCAAGATGATGAAATCAAACACCTTTCTGATGTTAATTATCTTTCCCTGGCAATAACTCAATTTTTTTTTTCCCCTAAGTTAATTGTGTGGAAAAGGACATAATTATTCTAATGACTATTTGGCTTAATAAATGGGAGAGGTTGTTGACAAGTGTCTTCTATAGCATGGGAGCTATACAGTTTGAGAAAAAAAAATTATTAAACAGAAGTAAGTACAAATTTTCTTGAATCTGCCATTTGAGGAAACTGATGACTTTAACTGTCTTATGAAAAAGCGTGGTATGGTGTTCACTGGTCTCTTCATGGAAGAGTCATAAAACCGAGCATACAGAATTTTTTCCCACTGCATCAGAACAAGTCTTAGTGGTTTGTATGTACTGCTGTATATATACACATTTATTTTTTCACCAAAGAAAGCTCTAACAGAACTTGGGCATGTGTTGCAAGCTGATAATAACCTTTCTGTTTACCTAACGTGAGGTGCTCCAGGGTCTCAGATGCAGAGATGAAACTTGATATTTTTCTGGTTTTTGGTAAAGACTATCTTAGAGTCTCCCTATTTTATTTTTTTTCCCTTTCTTGTCTGTCAAGGGCTAGCTGAATAAATGGCAGATCTGAGGGACCATAGAATATTTATGATTGTCTCTGGAATACCTGGATGCCTCTGTGTTTGCAAAACAGCTCCAGTGCTGTGATAAGTGCTGATGAATGTGTTAAGCATGCATGTGTGTCAGTGTGTGTGCATGTCAGCTGGAATATTTATCATAATGTAGTCATTAGGCAAAAGACTTTTAAAGCAGGCGGATTTGTTTTAGTTACTAAATTGCTCTGAGGCAGTCTCATTTTTTCATTATGTAAGGTTATTCTAATTATTGTCAGATCTTGCTAGCCTGAAGTAAGGCATGTGAAGCTTTAGAAAGAATGCAATTAGCAGTTGTCCTGTCATCAAATAGCTTGTATTTCATATTAATAATGAGGAAAAACGCTCCCTCCCTGGCTCATTTGTACCTGCTATACTGGTTATAGTCACCACATGCAGCTATTCAGGCGTCAACAATGTCTATTAATTACTCCATTAATAATTTTACACAACTTGTATACATGAGAATTGTCTTTGTGGTGGGTGTTTCCTCTCTCTTGGGGTATAAGGAAATTATCTAATGCATGTTAAGGAGGAGAACTTCAGAAGGAGCTGTATTCACTTTTGCGTTCCTGAATTGCAGCCACAGAAACATGGTGACAAATGTTTTGTACCCGGTTGCTTCAATAACTTTACATTATGGAGATGTAAATTTTTTTTTAATCTTCATGCCTCTTCTATTTTCAGGTCACTCTAACATTAAAGCTTTTCTTAGTCACGGAGGTTTGAACAGCATTTTTGAAACCATGTACCATGGGGTCCCGGTGGTGGGCATTCCCCTTTTTGGAGACCATTATGATACTATGACTCGTGTGCAGGCCAAAGGCATGGGAATATTGTTGAACTGGAAGACTGTCACTGAGAGTGAATTGTATGAAGCCCTAGTAAAAGTTATTAATGACCCCAGGTATGGAATGAGCGATTGTTTCTTGCTTTCATTTTAAGTTATTGTTACAGGTTAAATATGCACATACAGAGCCTTTGTGCAAGGGGAAAAATGCACCTTGGGATTTATTTGTGTGTACAGTTGGGGCAAGTCTTTAGATGGTTGTCCCATTTCACAAGATTACTCAATTGATCAGGTTTCTGTGTAGGTGCTAAGCCGGTTGCTCAGCCTACCAGAACCCAATTTTCTTATTTGCTTTTTGCAACAGTTGCCATGGAAAGGGTAGAAAGGTTATAGAAACAAACCTGTCCTGACTTATTCCTTGTTGCAGGCCAACAGTTCTTTTTATGTGTCTTGATTACTCCATATTTACCAGTCAGTTGTGCTGACTAAGGTGCCTGGAGCAAAATATACCTGTACAGTGGAGGTATTTAACATATAAACCTGTATATGGAGGCATTTAAAGAGAGTGACTCTTTTCTGTAGTCCCGTGATTTGATTTAAAAAAAAAAATCTTCCTGTTCTGCCAGTTATACCTCTCTTAAGGTCAGGAAGGTCACTTATGTTTGTTGCAATTAAAATATTCTAAGAAATTATAATGAATATGAGAACTCCAGTCTGTTCTTTGTAATTTTTTTTGTTACTGAGGTGGAATAAATAAAAGCCCACAAACTGTGTTTCATAATTCTAATTCCAGCAAATGATTTTGCTCAGGGATATTAAAGTGCGAGGCGAATCACTTTGCAAGTTTGTTCTGAATCTGTTTTAAACATCTATGATGTTCAGACTATCTCCAGATTAAAACTAATGATGTGTTAGATGGTCGTTTATTGTGTCAAACTAACAGTTGTTTTGGAGTACGGTGCTGACAGTGCTCCTTGCTTTCATGGGAGCAAAGTTTTTAAGCAATGCTTGCCTTGGGAAAGGAGAAACCTGTGAGGAGTGAGCAGCAGAACAGCAGTGAAGAGGGATGTCACTGAAGAGATCTCGATAACATCAGTTGCATCACCTTTCCCTTGTGCAATTATCCTTAGTAGAAAGGCAAGTCCTGCATAAATAACCTGTTGACCCTGCAGCTGTGGTGAGGAAGGAGAGGAGGAATTTGACATGATTGGCTGCTGGGGACAGCCTGTTTTGAAAACTAAAAAGTTTTAGGCTGAACTCTGGACCCAAACAGAAATAGTGTATTGTGCAATCAAAAACAATTGCTTTGTTCTGTGTTTCTCTAGTAATTCAGTTGCACAATAAACATAAATGAGTGTTGTGTTAGACACACATTTATGTGTAACAAGGTAAGTTGCCACTTTACAGTGGGAAGGAGAAATATGTCTCACTCAATAGGATTAATTTTGGATTAAGATTCCCCTTTGGCAGCAGGCCAGCTTGGCTCTTCATAGCTTTGATGAAGGGTGGATTTCTGCCTTTAGTCACATGCAGGTCTTCTAGTCTTTCTTCATCAGTGAGCTGTAAGGACTGATGTAAAGACAGATGATCTGTGTCTAGCCCTCTGCACGCTGGTGGCTGCGAGAGTCCTGCAGTAATATGCTGTTTGATCTGAAGCTCATTCACGTGTTTGCAGGCTTGCATTGCTCAGACCACTGATGATGATTTTTCCTTTCTTCCCTTTTCTTTCTTTTTCTCCCCCACAGCTACCGGGAGCGGGCTCAGAGGCTGTCTGAGATTCACAAAGACCAACCTGGTCATCCTGTTAACCGCACTGTATACTGGATTAATTACATCCTCCGTCACAACGGAGCCCAACATCTACGTGCTGCTGTTTACAGCATCTCTTTATATCAGTATTTCTTACTGGATATTGCCTTTGTTGTACTAGTGGGTGCTGCCTTACTTTATTATATTTTGGCTAGGATAACAAAATTTATCCGCAAACAAAGCAAACATCTTTGGTCAAATGAGGAACATAGCACTGTTAATGGACATTGCCAGAATGGGATACCAAATGGCAAGTATAGAAGAAATGGCCACATTAAGCATGAAAAAAAGGTGAAATGAGCCAACTGCCCCATGTAAAGTAGTAATGAATCAGATCAGTAATCAAATTTTATCGCTGTAACTTAGTCTAACAACTACTTAAAACCTCAATAAGCAGTTCTAACACTCCCCTTCAGTATGTAATATTATGTGACAAAATTCTACAGAACTAAGAAGTCTTTAAGAAAAAAAAAAGGCAAGCACAAACTGAAATGGAAAATATTTTATTCTTAATACTGATGCAGAGAAGTTATTTTGGCACTGAAGTTTTTAGGAGCCTTAATTCTCTAAAGTTATACTATGACTGTATTTATGAATTTTTGGTTTTTAAAAGCTAAATGTGTGTCCCCATGAGGAAAGGTTTCTTTTTATTTGAAGAAGGTTTTTTTTCCTTTTATTTTTTTATTATTTTAATATATCCATCTTTTAGCTGAGAGAACTTTAGTGCTAGCTCTGGGTTTCCTTTGTTGAAGGTTCAACATGTTGTGTAAGAATGCTGTTTAAAAAAAAAAAAAAATTTCCCAGTCTTTGTGCAAGAAATGGCAAGTTGTGGACTGAGAACACAGACATTAAAAAAAAAAATTAAATCATAAAGTGAGCACTGAAGTAAAATAGCAAAAATATGTACATGTTTTACTGATAAGCTGCATGGCTTCTGCTCACTACCAGTACTTTGGAGAAAAGGGCCTTTAGCAAGTCTCCAATATGTCCTAATTTTTAATTTATACCAAATTTTATTTGTTGCCTTTCTCTGCATATATAATTTATGCCATGAAAATGTTAGGGAGTTTTATTTAAGTTTAATATGTGGCTGTGTGGGAAGCAGATTTTCCTAATCAGTAAAAATAAAAGAAACCACCACCACCAACAACAACAAAGAAAATCTAACCCTGTGCTTAATGCAGAAGGTTTTGTAATGGCTCAGAGCTGTGCAGAATCAAACCACTATTTGGGATTTGTTTAAAAACCAAAAAAACAACAAACACCCCCACACACACCTCAAAGTTGAATGTCTTTCCTATTAATTCTCATTATTATTAAGTTCTTTCTAAATCACAATGTTGTAGATGTTCTCTTTCAATGGTTGTATCTGGAAAAATACTACCTTCTATTAGTCTGGGCCATGCAATCCATGTTTCACATAGTTGCCAATACGAATTCTCCAGTGTGGGATGGGAGGCTGCTCTCTGGGTTGGCGACCAGCCCTCCTTCTGAGGTCTGACGAGTTGCGGGGGGTGAAGCCTGGCCACCTGAGTGCAAGGTTTGCAGATGTGGTTGTCTTCCCCTTCCCCTGCTACAGCCCCTCCCTGCAACAATCTCTTTCAATCATTGTCGCCAACGTGGGATGCTGGCGGTCGTGTGCACCCAGGGCAGGGATGCAGGGTGCTGGGCATAAAATCGTAACTGGCCTACGGAACCAGAGTTGGCAACTATGAGTTTATTTCCATGTCATTCTGTTTACTTGGAATTTGCACTACACATGTGAGTGTACGCTTTATTTATTTGTAGTTTGAAATCCCATGCCTGAAAGAGAAAGGAAAGAAACCCATTTACCTAGTGTGTTCACTAACATGGGAAGAGCTGTGATGGTGACAGGATGCTGAGATCATCTTCATACACAGTGATGCAATATTTCACTATCACTCCATCAGGAGCCTCTATCCTGTAGCAATAAATAACAGTACAGATATGTTTCTAATACACAGTACAGCTACATGTACTGCTTTCTGAATACTTGAAGAAATTGGTATTATAAATAAGCATATTAGCTATACCTTTTTACAATCTTGCAGTTTGTGGCAACTAAAGGAGCACATAGAGGCAATGAATGGTGGAATGGTAATAAGACTTCGAGTGTATGAATGACTTGGTTTAAATGTTTTTGGTTTTTTTTTTTTTTTTTGGCATTGCAGAAGGTACAAAAGCACTGACTGGATGATTAAGCATAATTTAATCTCCACTGTGATAAAACTTAAGCAATAAACATGGATTTAATAGAGAAATTTTGTTGTTGGAAGTACATTTTTATTTAGTCGAATGCTATCTTTTAAAAGTACCCAGTGCATGTTCATGTATATAAATGGATGCTTATTAGGATACACAAATTCTTTCTTTTCGGTATATACTATGATGAATCATACATATTTGAAATCAAAAATTATTACATTTTGTGAATGTAGATCTATTTCCTGTAGGAGCATTGAACAATTGAAAGATGGGATGCTTAACTAGATATTTTTTTAAAGCATTTAATTTTTTTTAAATTTATGTAAACATTTCTGATAGTTTCTTCTGTATCTGTTAAGTTACACTGACTTCTTAGAAAGCAAAACCAAAATATTTTCACAGTGATATTAGATGAGATGATTGACTTCTGAGTAGTCTCTTTAGATATAACCATGCTTCAATTCAATTACAAAAAGAGGAAGTTGCTGCTTTATTAATTGTGTTACCAAACTTCTAAATGGGTCTGATCCACCTGAACTATAGAAATACATGTTGTGTTCAAAGTTACTTTCTTGTAAGTTCAAATATGATCTGCTATTGTAGTTGTTTTTTATTTCTATGTCACAGGAACCTGTGTTAGACTAAGTGGGTGGATAATGGTGTGGGAGAAATATTTCCACAAAGTGTGTCTGACAGGAGGAGAGTAAAACTGGTGCAAAATTAGTCACCACTTAGATGTTCTTGGGGCAGGTGTGCAAAAGTCACTAGGTGGCACAGCACAGCTGTGTAACCTGCAGCCCTTGTGCAACTTTCTAAATGGTCTTCACTGCTTTCCCAAATATCTGTGTATAAATACAAAAGTAGTTGGAGCAACTTAGATAAACTGTTCTGTGGGCAAAACTATCAGACAAGAAATAGCCACAGTAAAAAGTACAGCAGATGTCACTTGCACAAGGATTTTCAAAGAAGCTTGAGACACTTGGTATTCTGTTTTCTGATTTCCTTTGAACAGCTCAACAATTCAAGAAGAAAGCAGCCATAAAAACAAGACAGTTTAATTTTCACCTGCAGAAATAGTTTCTGGAGATGGTTATCAAGTATTTGGAGTTTAAGGAAATCAATGAATGTGCTAGCAACTTGTTTCATACTCTCCAGTTCACTTGCAAAATTAGGTTTTTAATATTATTCTGTGTTAATCTCTTTTTGATGTTCTTGAAAGATACCACTGTTCCTGAAGATGATTGTGTTCTGCTTTTATTCTATGGTATGGTAAGTATGCAGTATTTGCTGTAGTTAGTCTGATCTGTACACCTGCAGTGAAGAGATACAATTAAAATACTAGTGTATGCATACATACACTTGAGCATAATTTTAGTCCTACTTGTTTCCAGGGTGCTGAATTTTACCCTATAACTTGTATGGATACCTGTAAGTGGGTTTATTTGTATATGAAATCTAATTAGAAATCTGTATTAGTAAGAAACAGAAAAAGGCTATTTGATTCTTCTGAAGCTGAGCTGTGCTTCCTTTGCTTTGGTGATTTAATTTTCAGCATAATGATATTGTAATTTTTCCTGCAATGAGATCACCTAACTATTTTGGAGGGTGGGGGGAATGTTTGTTTAAAGATACATGTAAAAAATACAGTATTAGACAAGAAATTGTCAGTGTTGTTTTAGCTTGTGTGTAGGGATAAATGGTGCACATGCTTGCAAAAAGAAGTGGGCTAGGGCACTATGAAATACTTTAATTTGTGATTCCATGGGATAGTAATACTCTCTGATTTCCAAGAAAGAAGGCAACACCTCTAATGAGAAGGTTCAGTTATGTAAACATGAGAAAAGAGTCTCTGAATTCATGTTGCTGCTCTTTATATTAAAGGTCTAGGTGTGTTACAGAACAACGGGGAAAGCTGTTGCACTTGGGTTTTGAAGAACAACTCACAAGTCAGAGGAAGGATTAGGATGAAGATCTTGTGAAGGGGAGGAGGAAGACGAATTTTCCTCAAAGAAACTTCATGTTTACCTTCTGTGAACTGTTTTAGTACAGAGCTGTGAATAAAACCAAATAATACTTTTTTAAAAAATTACTTTTTATTCCAGTCTAACAGCATTGGTAAGAGAGAGGTAACTATATTGAGGAAGACCATAACTCCTTCCTTTCATTTGGATAATTATAAAATTAAATGTGGGTGGGGGTGGGGGGGAGAAACACCCAACACCCTCCCCACCCCCCAGTGTATTTTGGTACATACTGCAAATCTGTAGTGTGGATGACAACAGGAGAACTTCCCTCTTTGCCATAGCAAGCAAATGTCCCTGTGTTTCAAGGCTAAGAATCTAGGAGCAATTGGTATTGGTGCTCAGCCAGCATTGAAATCAGCCAGACTGTTGAAGGAAAGACATGTTTAAAAATTCCCAAACTGGCTCACAATGACATCCCAAGGAAGTCTGGGTATTCCTCATTTCTCAGTTTTTCTAACCCCTCTACAGTACCTAAATAATATAAACCTAATGTATCCTCTTAGCCACAAGGAACACATAATACTCGGTTTATGATGCCATAGTCAACTCATTGTGAAATAAGTGTTCATGTAGTGTCTTTATCTCACTGTTAAGATTTGTGTAACTCCAGACGGCATACCCAATCATGACAGCAAGTCTGAGGTTTTGCTCACCTGTTTCACAGAATCACAGAACGTT